ACCTAGCACCCTAGTAGACCGTTCAGCTACTTGGGTCCGATTTAATAGCCTAATTCGTAATTTTAGTGAGACTGGTAACAGCCTATGTCATCGGATTGTATTAGTCTTTATTCCCCTCAGGGTCGACTTTACTGATCACGACCTCTCAGTGGAACTCCAGCCAGTCACTAGATAGCATCAGATTAGTTTTCAGGAGTCGGTTTATAGGGATTTAATTTATATCACAAGTATGATCAAGGATGGATATCAGTTAGAGAACCGTTGTCTGACCATTTAACATCAAAAAGGCTATACACATATCTGGTGTAAAGTAAAACAATCCGTAACGATTATCACTGTACTAAATGAGTCTCATTCTAAGACATATTGATCTGTGTTTGTTTTTAATATATTCATAATGTGAAGAGAATATTCTGATTGGCAGGCCTTTATCAGTGGATCGTTTTGTTGTTTTTTTTCTTTCCTAAAAGGTGTGATTACCTGTAGTTGTCATCAGGAAACCCAATCATATGGCAAACTGGGCGAATTGGCCTGATATAAATCCATGGTGCTATAAGTGTCACGGAAAATGTTGTTAAGGAATATAACTGACAGAATTTGTTAAATAGTTGCGAGAATCACACATGAATAGGCTATAAGCCTGGTAGAAATCTAGGTTAGTTTGGAAGAATATATATATATGAAGACATGTTAAACCTCCAAACTACCAGAAATATGGCTAGCTATAATGGCGCTATATATATATATATGGCGCTAGCTATACAAAAGCTCAAACCCACGCTTTGTATACAAAAGAAATACGTCCAACCCCTGTCCTTGCCATGGCCATCATAAACAAGTAATTTTTAGTAATCACCATCCCATCGCCTTTCTTATCTAAACTTCCTGTTTATTCATGTTATTTCAAGTTTTTCTTAATCCCTGTTTACACTACCATATTTTCTTACCCGAACTTAGTGTTTATTTTGTCATTTTACTATTTCTACATATTTAATCCCTGATTGCATAAACAATTATTCATCACATTAGTTTTTATCCAAACATCCTGTCTATTTTGTTATTTCTACATTTCTAACCCTAATTGCACAATGTCAGTCTTCTTAGTTATTTTAATGCTATTTTGTTTGTTTTATCCATCCCCCTGTTTATTATGGCATTCTAATTCCTAATTTTAATTTTTATTAATTTGACCCTTGACCGGATATTATTCTGGAACTTTCCCATCCATTTGATATAAATACACGAATGTACAGCCTAGATGATGACTTCGTCGAAAAGAAAATTTTCTTCGCTGCAACTGTCTTCTTATTTACTCCTATGACCCAAATATGGATTTGTTTAGGGTTCAACAGATTCAATGATTCAGTGGTAGAACGGTAGCCAATCACAAATTTGATCCGGGTTCGACTCAAAGCCTTACTGACGTACTTCTATAAACCTCGCTTAACCAGTAGTAAGCGCTGTAAAAATGAAAGACTGGATGTGGGGCGAGCTACCCTTTCCCCCTTTGAAAAGATACAATCTCTAGTGGAACTTCAGGACTCAAGCTTTAGGCCTTGATTGGTTTACAGCGTTTCATCATGAACTGACATTAGTTAGAGAACCATTGGAAAACCTGGGAGTACTGGACAACTGTTTCGTCCTAGTTTGGGACTCTTCATCAGTACACACCCACCGGAACTCGAACCCAGGAGCTCCTGGTTACAAGGTGAGCTCGTAGACCATTAAGCCACTGATACCTGATTCAATGGCCTATGAATTCTAACTTCTAATTCACGACAAAGCGTGACCACCAGCCAATGTCTTCGGCGAGTATTTGTCCCCATAACCGACCTGCTGCACCATGCTAGTCACTACTTTTCACTAGAACTTCAGGTAATCGCCTACCTAAATCAGGCTGGTTGCCAGTTTTTTCCAATGGTTCTCTAACCAATGTCAGCTCATGATGAAATCCTGTGACCAGTCAATGAAATCCTTACAAACCAATACCTGAATTTAAACCTTGAGTTGGAATAAAAACTTAACATGCGATGAAAATTTTTTAGCTAGTTGACTTCTCTTTTCTAAAGTAAACTATTTACAACGCTTCTTGCAATAAACCGTTTGGTGGAATCATACTACTTAAAAAAAATCAAATCATTATTTATGGAAAGCGTACACAGGTAATAACTAAAACTTGACGTAGAACTTTGCTTACACAGTTCACAGAGGAACATAGGGCTTCAGGCTGGATATTTGAATTCTCAGTAACAGGGGTATTAATTCTCACGGGATAGTGTTGCTAGCCTCATGCCCAACCTTTCCTATTTACCAGTCTTATTACTGGGTTAGCGAGCTAAAGGAGTGCGTTGTGGTCGGAAATCGAACCCAGAACCAGGTGGATGGTTGGCTGTGCCACCGACTTTGCTCTAAAGTCCAACAATTCATGTTACACGAAGGTGATGAAAAAAACTAAGGTAGGGACCATAGTGAAATTAAATGTGCTGGAGGGGATTTAGTAAATTTTAGAGGATTACAAAAACTGAATACATCTGTGTCACTGAGTACGATTTCAAACCATTTTCTTCAAAAGTCTTCAGTCTTTGTTTCACGATATCTCAATGACTCAGTCCACAGCTTCATATGTATCTCAAGTCATCAGTAAGAGACTTCATCGAGTGATTTTTGGTCTTGACTTGAACTCCCCTAACTCTATTACGATAAAATTCTATGTCAGTTTGATAATGACCACCTGGCGTAAGTAACACGAGTCCTATCCAATTTTACTAACAAAAATATACTATCTAATCTAAGAGACAGAACCTAAGTTATATGTGATCCATAAAGAAGGACAGGTTGAAAGTAAGATATCTTGTGTAGGTTGGAGACGATGTAGGTCGACTTTAGCTTAACATTACTGACATGTGTCTTACCGGCTTGGCAGTTTCATCGACCAATTTTCTTCCCTTACTAAGGTTTACCTGGTGCAGGATGACGCTATTAATTTACTGGAAAAAACGTAAGAATTCGACTTTTATGTAATGGAGCGATGTTTTGATTAGGCACTAGCTAGTAACTAGTGTCATGAGTCTAACCCTTTTATTTGCTACAGACTGAATTCTACCAATTAAGTTTGCAACGTGCTATAGGCGCTTCATCATCTCGGTTCACTCTCAGTTGTTTTTTTTAATTAAATGGCTGGAAGTAATCGGTACGAAGCCCTGTTCGACATAGATCTCGTGCTTGTCAGCTCTTGTCATCAAGAAGTGGCTACAATCTTGAAGGAACTCATTACCGTACAGAGATTCGAACCCGAATCACCCAATGCTGCTATCGGAGACGTTGACACCAGTTCATTAAACAATGGACTGAATACTTGACACTAATCCCTACCCAGTGTTCACTTTAAGTATCCAGTACAGTCCTAAAGGAGGTCAACTGTGAGCCTATATCGCTAAGTTGTAACGCTTCTGATTACCTCACCGGATGACAGGGCTTCGAATCTCGGTAGGTATATGAATTAATTGAAGACTGTAGATAAGCCTAGCTAACTGATGTGAACTGTGGAGCGGTAGCACAACGGTAGAATTCTCGCCGACCATGCATATAGTCCGGGTTCCTATCCCCGGCCACCAATGGACTCCTTTTCCTCTCTAAGTTAGTAATAAGACTGGTTGAAATAGAAAGGTTGGGCTGGGTAAGGCTAGCAACCCCAAACAATAAAAATAAATATCCCTGCTACCGAAACTTCAAGTTTATAGCTTGAAGTGCAATGTTCCAATGTGAACGTAAAGGAATAAAAAAACGAATGGGAACATGCAGGAAAACCAAGGCCCAATAGCTCTAACAGACCTATATGTCATGACGAAGGAACCTCATGAATTATTCATGGGATTCTTAATAAAGCAGGAATACTAGTGGTATTTAAACACATAAAGTTACTGAGAAACAAATCACACAACATTGTACAACAGAATGAGACAAATCAACAGTCTTAAAATCAAACATACTAGGGGTATCGATAGAATTGTTCAACTGAAGCTTTATTAATTTATAGAATCAACTAAGTGTGCATGTAATAGATAACTTGTTTAATCCGCCAAAAAATGTATCGCCTTATTAAAACTCCAGGGTAACTGCAACGATCTTGGTGAATATCAAAAGCTTGATATAGTGCTTAAGCCTACGCTTGAAATAAAGATGACATCGTCGGTTTTTTTTCTCTTAAGAAGCAATGATTTACATTACGTAAGAATTCCCTTCAGTAAAGAAAAGCGGTTAATTAGAATGAATTAGAAATACTAACCTTTACAGTTGTAAGGACATACATACATACATTCTGTCTAGGTGTCCGAACTTTATATGCTTGACAGACACCTGTCGCTTCATGAAGAACATTTTTTCAACAGGTTACTACAGTCGTCTATCACCACCACACGGATCTTTTTTCCACACTTAAGATCAGAAGGGATAAGTATCAAGAAACACTTGTTGCAAACAAGTCAATAATCTATTACACAACAATTACGCGTAAAGAAATGAAGACACATTTGCACATTACAACCTAAGCGGGTCGTCAAGTGGGACTCAGATAGAAAGAAACGACTTAGACCTAAATTTAAGGGTGATATGGAGAAGATTGTGAGAAAAGAAAATAGAAGCATGAAAGCAGCCACACAGACAGGTGAAAGTAATGACAAGGGACCGTTAAGAATGAAAATGTAGTGCTGAAGCCCAGTGTTTCAATCGGAACTCAAGAACTAACTAATTAGTATTCAAAATCACTAGATATCTGAAGGGATTAGATATAAAGCTTAGAACCCACTCTGTGTTACAGAAATCCATACGTCCCTGTGTCATGCTACGCATGACAATGCCCCGCCTAATAAGTCAAATTTACGATAAATTAAAGTTGATAGTCGACAACCTTGTAATCCTAACTAAGTGAAGTTGAAATCAATCATAACAATAATACAGGTAACAATAATAAAATTGAGGAGGGGGCCACCTCCTGGACTTACTTTACCAAATTCACTGAAAAAACTTTTCAATTCATCTGCAGTAGTCCCCGTGGATACACCACCGATAAACACCTTCTTTGTTCTTACAAGAGCTTGTGCAGCCAGCAGAGTTGCAGACCATTGGTCTAAAGCTGGTGAATTATTATTACTGTTATTATGAATAATATGAGGACTAATATTCGATGATGAAGATGATGTCGTTGAATAGGAGGAGGGTACGCTTGAAGCATTCTGATAACATGGGGATTGTATTCTTGTCGAGGTATTGGACAATAATTTCTCCTTGGTATACAGTGAATCAACACTTCCACTTATAATACTGTTATTATTATTATTGCTGGTATTATTACTATTATTATTATTATTATGATCAACGCTTTTCATATCAGTATGATCCATAGACGTGGTGTTATTATTCATTGAAGGTATTCCTAAATCTGTAGAATTGATCGATGGCAATGAGGTATGATAAAGCAGGGCTTGTTGTTGATGTTGTTGCTGCTGTTCTTGTATCTGAGGTTTAAACTCATCCATGAGCATATCTCTGCCTGTGAGTATTTGTGGGTGTGTGTGTGTGTATGTGAGGGTAAAAGGGTAGTAGTTCGTTTGTTATTTGATAAATTTCCCAATGTTTTCAATGATACAAGTGAATAAATAAGTAGTATCTTGATTTTTGACAAATTAAAAAGACAATTGACGAGAAATCCAATTGCAATTACAAAAATAAATAAATAATTACAGCTGATTTGGAAAAAGTATTTCTCTATAATCACTGAAAAGTGATACTGTCAATATGTGAATGGTGGTTATATATATATTTATATATACTATCTCAAATGTGATGTCTGTTATGCCTTCTAAGTGAACAGAAATAATAATATGTGATGTGAGCCTATCTCACAGTGTTCCTGGTTGTCTGTATGCGTATGTGCGTACGTGTAGTGTGTGTGTGTGTGTTCATATGCTTTGACCCAGTACTATGACGACGTCATAATTGTGTTTGTGATTGGCATCTCTATCTATCTATCTATTGTTTGTTAACCAAAATGCATTAAGCGAAATTCTCACCTTAATAATAATAATGATAATTTCGTTTTTCTTATTTAGAGGTCTATTCTGTACTGTTTAGTTTGCTACGTGCGTACGTCCGTGCGTAGGTGTATGTGTATCAAATAAGGCGACCCCTGATTGGTTGAAAAGTTGACAACCAATCCAATGTCAGTATTATTCGAGTTTAAAGTCTCGTTGTATTTTTTAAAAGGATCTTTGAAGGAGAAGTTAATATAAAATTCAAATAGTTAACATACCAATGAAATAATCATTCTAAGTATTACCAATAATTAAAGTAAATAGCATTACCAGTATTTATTTTTATTACTAATTGTTGTAGTATTACGTGAAGAAGACATTAAACTGTTCGACTGTACGACTGTTATCGTGGAAAGTTGAACCCGCATTAGTGAGTGGTATGATCAAGGTTTATAGGTGACCGCAATCTTTGACATCTATCTATCTATCTATCTATCTGTCTATCTATCTGGAGAGGGAGAGGGGGGGAAGGACGAGCCACAACTGGGTTTCTTGACTTGCTCACACACACACTCACACACCTGCACCTAGACATTAGTAACGTTTGTCTGTTTGTTTATTTATATACATTATGTAATTAACGTTTCTATGGCGTAAGATGGATGGCGAACTGAGCTTTAAATTGGAGGTATTATGTGTGCGTTTTAAAAATAGAAAAGCCAAGTCATGAATAGATTGATGTAAAAAGGCAAAAATACAAAGCGTATACATGCATATTTAAACATAGTGTTATGCGGGTCTATCTGTTCTACTTTACGACCTCTACAGAGTGAGTGAGTGATTCATCCATCCAATGTGTGCACATGTAAACAAGAAATTCATAAAATCTTTAGCATGACAATTGAATAATCGATATATTTTTTAAAATATATTTAATGAATAAATTATACAGTTAGATGGTTCAGTGATGGAGTTGTTCGTAAACCACATAGGGTAGTCTAGGTTCGATTTCATCCTGCCTAGTCTGTCAGCCGTTCATAGGCTTAGAAAAAGAGTGGAAGGTTGTAGATGAGGCCAGTAAATCCACTCCAGATGAAGAATACCACAGCTACTGTAAGTTTCACACTTGAAGCTCCATAGGATAATGAGGTATGAAAAAAGTCCAGTCTGAGTCAGCTGGCTACTTAAATTGCGTGGAGTTGTTATACTGATGAATAATACTGGTGTATCCATGATCCACCTCGAAGTGAATCAAGCCTTTGTAAAGCATTATTATGTAAATGATTGCGTACTGGTGATTAATTATAAGATGAACTTCCTGGAATTCTGATGAGAAGTGGTGACTAGTAGAATCCACTGAGTTCGGTATTGGACTAGATATCTGCCATATACAATGACTAATGGCGGTGTTATACATGTTTGTTAATCGACACAAATTGGAGTTCATGGGTTATTCGGCTTCTTCTCAATGACATTGTACCTTGAAGGTGCTGCATGCAACCCATGATGGACTAGCAGTGAGAAATGATGAACAGTCCTTAAGTGGAAAGAAACAACTGTGCATTACTTTTTGCAGCAGGGTAATTCTTTGTAAAAATCATTCCTAAACGATCTAATTACGATAATGATACATATTAGAATATTTCAACTAACTAATTATCCATTTTCCCCAAGGATTGCATGTTACTGTTCCGACGTTTGCGTGTCATCCGATGATTAAATTCTTATTGTTTACGTATTTCTCTATAAAAAACCTTTAGTTTTAATGCTTCGCTTCTTGGTTGTGCGGTGATGTTGGCAATGGGATGTTCTATAGCGATGATTTCGTTTGAGTGATTTGAGATCATTCTGACTTTGGACTGTATGCAGAGATTACTTCATAGGTAATTCTTGCTGACTGAGTTTGATCCTATTTTGTTGAGAAGATTATACTTGATTCTCGTATACTATACACGATATTAGTGAGGAAATTTTGGGTTAAATTAAGATAAGTAGGAATGCAATGGTTAATCTTAAATGCTGTATTGACATCAACCTTATGCTCACTAACTACAAGGTGCGCTAAAATAACAGCTATGAATATATCTTGTTTGTCCCTTGCTTAACCATGCGGGATGATGTTCGGAAATACGATGATGAACCTGCCTAATTGCACTCCCAATGTGGCTGGTTCCACAGCTGCGGTTGAACTGGTAGATACACGTAGAAGTGGCGAATTTAGGTAGTTTATCCTCATTTTTCGAACGTAGATTAGGGGTGGTTGTGAAGAGACAACGTACCTCTGCTGCATAGTAAGCTCTTTTAACTGCATTCTTCGGACGCTGTGTCATTATTTCGCTGATGTTGTCAATGAGGAACTTCAATTTATGAACATTGTTTTTTTGGAACTGTTGCCCTTCCGTCGATCCAACAGAAGAAGTGAAAAAACAACTAATTGAATCACTAAAAAGACTTAAACAACAAAGTAGCATCATAGACGGTTTATATGATTCTTTAAGGTCTGTTGGCACAGTGTCATCAAGATACTATGGACTACCAAAAGTGCATACAATGGGATTACCGCTTCAACCAGTGTTGGATATGTCTAATTCCTCATATCACGCAATAGTCAAATGGCTAGTGAAGCCCTTAAGACCTCTGCATAACGAAGTGGTAAAACATAGCGTAAACGTTAATTCTGAATTTTAATGGAAAAATAAGAGATCTTAATGTGAGGGACACGTCTATGATATCTTCTGATGTATCCTCCTTGTTCACCAATGTACCTTTAATGGAGACAGTGAATTTTATATGTGAGAAGATTACTACACGAAACATAGACATCGGAATTTCCGTATCCTCCTCCAAGAAAATCATTGTAAGACGTACAATGAATGTTCATTTCTTATTCAATAAGGAATATTACAGACAGATTGATGGTGTAGCTATGGTTCGCAATTAGGCTCAATCCTAGCTGATTTTTTCCTCGTTAAGTTAGAGAATGGACAACTGAAAGGAGTAATTAATGACTTTGATTTCTACTGTCAATATATAGATGATACATTTCTGGTTATGAAAGACGAGAATGATGCAGTGAACACCCTTGACAAGTTTAATGATGCACATTCGGCAATAAACTTTACCATAGAGAAAAAAAAGGTAATGACAGTATCTCATTCCTAGACGTATTCATGGCAAGGAAAGAAGATGGCACAGTAAGAAGGAAACCTACAACAACAGGTCAGTACACTCATTTTTTCAGTTTAGTACCTTTGAAATAAATACGTAATCTGGTAAAGTATCTAGTTCATAGAGCTAGGTTAATCTGTTTAGATGACTGCTTCAATGAGGAGCTTAAGATAATCAGAAAATTATCTAGAAAAATGGTTATCCAGATAAATTCATTGAGACAAATATGAATTCAGCCCCTAGAAGAGTCAGTATGACAACAGTTCCAAAAAAACAATGTTCATAAATTGCAGTTCCTCGTTGACAACATCAGCGAAATAATGACTTAGCGTCCGAAGAATGCAGTTAAAAGAGCTTACTATGCAGCAGAGGTACGTTGTCTCTTCACAACCACCCCTAATCTACGTTTGAAAAATGAGGATAAACTACCTAAATTCGCCACTTCTACGTGTATCTACCAGTTCAACCGCAGCTGTGGAACCAGCCACATTGGGAGTGCAATTAGGCAGGTTCATCATCGTATTTCCGAACATCATCCCGCATGGTTAAGCAAGGGACAAACTAGATATATTCATAGCTGTATTTTAGCACACCTTATAGATAGTGAGCATAAGGTTGATGTCATTACAGCATTGGACATTTTAAGTCTTTGATGCCATTATCGTTAAACGGTACCTCAGATTTCTTCGTAAATAACTGTCGTTTTTCTATTGTGTGATCCTGAATAATTCAAAGGAGTTTTGATCCGCCATGCAGTAGAACGCAAAGATCGGTTCCCTGTACGCAGACCATTAAACGACAGTTTTGTTTGTTACACTGTTCAGTTTCCAGTGGTTCTATTACTTTCGTCACTTCGTAATATACCCTCAAGTCAATCGAATTCGTGCAAACCATTACTTGAAAATGTAAAATATGATTGAGAATTTATAGTTTAATGTTAGTGATTGATTGTATGTTGTAACTTTATCGTTACAGACTATAGAAACGTGAATTAGCATTGAGAAGGTCACTACATTGCCGAATTTCCTTATGGTGTTCGTGTGATTGACGTTTTTTCACCAATTTTCACAATTCAACAATGTTATTGATCAGTAATGAATTATTAGTCAGTGGATTTTAATCGTTTTTATCCCAACGACTGATGCAATTAAATGCTTCGACGTATATCCTTGAAATACCTTGCAGATTGAGAATTGAATTCTAAGTAATACCAGTTTTTCCGTGTGTCTGTTCAGAATTCAGGTGACTGGAAGGGGTTCAACATTTTGATCAGGATTAGATCAGGTACATCTTTCTAGAGCTTGGCGTTCAACGAGAGAAACTGCCTTCTGGTGTTTGCATCACTTCAGCTTACTGGTTGATGCGAGTATTGTTCAGCTATTCATGTCAGTCAACCAGTCATTATTAATGGTGTCATGCGTTTCTGATCCTTTACTTGATTGTTATTCATGGCATCAAGAGGATCACATAATTTGTTCTGAATAGTTCTGGTTTCCAGAAGATATTTTGATAATATCTTATATGGAAATATACGTTTTGCCAGTGGAGAATTCGAATAAATAATAACCAAATGTGTTATAGGTAAGGCGCTATTCAAACTTTTCTCCACTGTAGACACCTATAATAAAACTGTAACAATTTCGCAGGGATTTAGAAGGGTGGAAATAAGAATATCTCAGCAGCTACAGTTGAAAAAAGCAATCAAGATACAAACGGTGAATTTTCCCTTAAAATGACGGAATAGAGTTTTCACTAGATTTTATCTTTGAAGTGTTGAAATAATTGACCCTACTCCTTGAATGTATCGCATACTTTTTCAAATGAATTCTTTTGATATCTCTTTTGCTATTTTATTCTATTTACATTCGTAGTGGGGCATAGGAGATTTGTGGTTTTGGCAGCGGTGGAGTTGACGGGCTT